AAACGGCGATCAGTGCAGGTAACTCTATGTGCAGTTCAGTGGATGTGGTTTAAACTGAAGTGACATCACACTTGCGAACTTATGTGGATGTGGTTTAAACTGAAGTGACATCAAACTTACGAACCAGATTTGATACCTTCAGATGCCAAGAGGACCACAACAGGGAAGCAGGGAGTTCAAGCAGTTCACCCGCTAGCAGTCCTCAGCCTAGCAGTTTGTCCCACAGAAGTTCACAGCTCAGTTAAGCTAAGAAGGCCTGACACTGAGTGTCACATGGCAGGCCCCTAATAATCTACTTTTAAAGTGGCCCAATCTAAAGAAAAGAGGCAGGGCAGTGTCCAGAGTCTTTCGTCCAGACTGGGGAATTGAAGTCTATTGTCTACTTCACTGAATCTTCCTTCAGAGAACACTTCTTAGAGACAGAATTAGTCTTTTCAAGGCATTTTTTAAATTATGGCTTGTGGTAAAAGTTGTAACTTTTCACCAAAGATCGTATAGCATCATAAAAACTCTACCACTCCATGCCAATGGGAGCTGCTGCTCAGTGTGGAGTCAGCTAATCAGAGCTCACGATGTTGGGTGTAAATATTGATGATTCTAAACAGGCCCAGTTGAAAATTGTTGGCAAGATTAAGGAGAGAAGAACAGAGCATGGTGTGCTGCCCACACATGCATTAGTGGTGGGGGGGGGACAGTGGCCCCCCCACTTTTTCGACTGGGGGCATGCCCCCTCCCACTTTTTGCAGGTCCTAAAATGGGATGGGGCCTTAATGGATTAGCCTATTAATGGCTGGCGGCTGATGGTCTCACAACTGCTCCCCTCCCACTTTGAAAATAAAATATTCCACCACTGTGGCACACAAATAAATCCATGGACTGCCAGTAACACCAGACCCAAATGCTGCCCGGGGCTCATGTGCAGAGCTCTTTGAATGTAATGCTGCTGTTCATTGCACTTTTCAAGTTGCTCATGTTGCTCATGTGCACGTCGGCCAAGGAATTTGGACATGAGGGCCTTTGTGGCCGTTAACATTTAGTATTTTTGCTCGTTAAAACAAGTACTACATTCTCTCTAATGAATCCTTGTCCTATTAAGCTTGCTAATTTCATTTGTATATTTCATCCATTTTCCTTTCATTTGTTTTGCACGTCCATGAAAGGGCTTGATTTAGATAACCAGGTGTACTAAGTTTCTTTACAGTCTTTATGCCCGCATTTCAGTGAGTTACATGTATGGATAAATTAATTTGGCACTTATGTTGTGTATTCTTGTCAAAAGTAACTTTCTGTATGATAAAGGAAAGTTAAAGACCCAGAATGGGGATTGATTTTTTAATTATACAAGGAAAAAATCTGGTTCATGTAGACCTGATTTCAATTTGTAGTTTTCGTTACATTATGTAGAAAATTTGTGAAACAGCAGTTTTCTAATTGAAGTTAAGCAAAAGGAACTAAATATCTGTTTTCTGGTGTGTTTCACTGCAGTGTAAACTTGGAACTGTTCAAGACCAGGGATGCCATGGCAAGCCCAGTCCATGTACTGCACTGTAAAGAGTCAGTCAGTACAATTGCTCAGTTACTTCTAGACACTACTCATGGCGGTTTTCCTGTGGTGAGATCTGGCTCTGGACTGCATACCAATCAGTTCGTCGGACTTATAACAAGGTAGCAGTTTGAAAAGAAAAGTAGAATATGCAATAGATTGTTTTAATTTGTCCCCCTTATAATGACAGTTTCTAATGGGGTCTAGGAGAAATGCCTTTACATGCCCTGTTAATCCTACAGTAGGTTCCACGGCTGGCTCGCCCTGCTCCACCGCCTCAACTGCTGGAGAACCTGTGCTACAACATGGCATCCAGCCTCGAGCTACATTGGACAATGCTAGCCCTTTTGGACTGCTATGCCGCCGGGGCTTTCGTCTGCCACACCCCATCCACAGTTCTATTATGACCTCTGCTCTGCCGATGGTTTCCGGACATAAGGCCGCCGATCCCAACATGAGACGTTCCTCCCAGGATACAATCGACCACTCAGGGGATCCCTGAATCTCTGTCTGTCCCAGCTTCCAGCTCCCATGCTCCGGCAAAGGACTGAAAAGCATAAGGCCAAAACATCTTCTTAGGCGGCTTCTTCCTCATCCAAGGCTAAGAAGAAACGTCGCTCCGATCCGGATCCACCCCCATGGATGGCGACCCTTCAGTCCCTCTCGGAGGCCTTCACTTCTCTTGCCCGCAAGATAGACTCCAAGCCACAGCCGGTAGCAGTGGAGCCTGACCCCGGATCCCCTACCAGCTGTTCTTACTTCCTCACAAGAGGCACCTTCGGAGGTAGAAGTGGCCTCTGTTCTCGAACCAGACCAGTTTTTCCAACAGGATTCGGCCTCAGATCGTGGCAACTCGACTCGCTCTGACCACAGTTTGGCTTTTCCCCCTCCTCCTGCGGGCCTTCAACCGCTCTCTTCTGAGGATGAGAACATCGACTCTGTCACCAGCCTGACCCAACTCGAGGGCCACCTTCGCCTTCTTCAGCGCAACACGATACATGTTCTTGGTCTTCCATCTTCGGATCCTGCACCTGCAGAGCAAGGACATACTTCAATTAAATGTCAGCCTTTTTTCTCGTCTTGAGTCAACTGAATCTGTCTTCCCGGATATCCCCTGGATCACTACTGCGTGGAAATGATGAATGTCCTCGCGAAGGCTAAGCACTGGTGCTCAATGCCGTCCAGGGCTCTGTGCTACTACTGCTTCCCCCAGGAAGATGTCTCCAGCTTCTTGTCAGCTCCGGACATCCCTGATGCTGCTAGAGACAAAATTTCTTCCAATGCCAGTAAGAACTTCACTTTCCAGAATAAGGACAGGGCTAACTTCGAGTCGGGTCTTCGTCGCCTAGATTTAGCCTCTCGCTTCAGCCTCCGATGTTTGGCCTCCCTCCTTTTTCATTCAGAGTATATTGCTTGGGCCTGTGGGGAGGGCTCTCCCATCACACCTGACTTTGCGGCCCTTGCCCTGCCTGGGCTCAACGAGGGTCTTAACTCCATCTTTGAGCAGTTCACCCACATCTCGCTCCTAGCTACTTCCAGCTGCAGGGCTAATGCGGTGGATGCTATGAACACTCCCTATAAGTCAGTCAAGAACAAACTTTTCAATCTGCTGCTTCTCTGGGACGACTTGTTTGTCGGAAGATTTTCTGATGTCCTCGAATCAGAAGTGAAGCGCGTAGAGACTGCCAAGAAAATTTCACTCTTCCATCGCAGATTTCCTCATGCACCTGTTTCACTCAGGCCTCTAGGTTGCCACCATCTGCAATTATCAGTCGGCCTTGGCGGCTGTACACTCGGGCTTCTGCGAATGGTTAACTGTCTCTGGCAATGCTGCTGTCCACCATCTTCTTCGAGGAATGTTTGTCGAGTGCCCCTATGTCAAATACCTTGTCTTTTCCTGGGATCTCGGAAACATTCTACGCATTCTTGCTGGTCCCCCTTCGAACCGTTATCTAACGCATCTGACCTCCATCTCAGCATCAAGCTGGCATTCCTCCTGGCGGTTGTTACATCGAGAAGGGGTAGCGAGCTAGATGCGCTATCGAGTGCCGATGGCCATATCCATTGGGATCCTCACGGCTTCATCTCATCCCATCCATCGGGTTCCTGACTAAAAACCAGACGCCTACCTTCCGCCCTTCTGACATATTCATTCCCGATTTACCTCACTTGTGGGAGACGACACTGACAAGAAATGGTGCCCAGTTCGGACTCTCAAGTGGTACCTTGCCAGGACGAAATGTTGCCGGGAATCTGAATCTCAACTTTTCATCACCATGATGAAACCGTTTCACCCAGTGTCTATTAGGACAGTATTGCCCGACGGATGGTCTCGGCTATTATCTTTGCTGGCTGGTTCAGCATGATGAGATGACTCGGGCTTACATCAGGGCCCATGATGTTCGGGCTGCCTTTACATCCTGCTTATACTTCAGAGGGGTTCCTCTAGCTGAAATCTGTCAGGCGGCTTGTTGGAAATATCCTTCCACCTTCACCGAATGCTACCTGAAGGATGTCCTGTGGCAGTGACACTTACCCCTGCCCATCTACTCCCGTCCTTCCCCACTTTGGCTCCGGTAACCGTACCGCTTCAAAAAGAAGGACGAACATGGCAGCGGGACCGCAATGCATTGTGGAGGGTCAAGGGGCAGAAGACATAATCAAGTCTTTTTGGCGAATTGTAATAGGCACTTGGGAAATTTGCATGTGTTGGCTGGGCAGGGGTAAGTATCTCTAGGAGACACGACCTACTCCATGTGGGGAAGGATTTTAACCCTAACTCCCTAGGGTGTGTGCAAAATCATATTAAAATTGGAGGATTCAGGGCTGTTAGGGTTAAGGGGTATTTTGCTGCCTTTTTGGTTTTTATGCCAATGAGTATTTCCATATTCATGACCAAAACTGTCATGTAATCCCAGGAATAGAATTTCAATGTTGCATTGGTTTGTGTACAAACAACTGCTGAATTTTTAAAGATATTGCTGGTCTCAATTTTTGTTTCTTTGGTAATCCACTGTTGTGCAAATGCCTAATAATAAGCAAGCATTTTCTCAGAAATGTTTTTATTGTGACAACTTTAACAGAAACCCTATACACTGGAAGATGTCTTCCCTGGAGGACATCACAGCAACAGCACCCTCGGTTGTCTAAGAAAGCACGGGCAGTTTTTAGCATTTTAAAAATTGCACTTTTCAATGCATTTAACTGAAAAAAAAAGTCTAATAATTTTCATACACTGAAGAAGAGTATAAAATTGCAGAAAAATTGGATCTCAGATCCTTGGCTTTGCCTCAGGGCACTGTGTGTCCCTCAGGTGTTCAAAACATCATACAAACGTTACAAGCCCTCCGGTAATGTAAACAAACCTTCGCAGTAAGTGACTTCTTTTGCAAAAGTCATAAATTATTGGTCAAAAAATATTGATGTAGGCAAACTTATAAGTGTTGCATTTATTGATCTTAGAAAAGCTTTTGATATTAAAGCTTGGTGCGTTTGGGTGTACAGAGTCATATTTAAAATGGTTTCAATCCTTTCTTGACAGACTTTCTCCAAGCGTTTCCTTTAAAGGTGCTACCTCTCAACCTATTTCTGTTAAAACAGGAGTGCCACAGGGCTCTATCCTAGGCCCATTAATGTTTTCCATTTATGTAAATAGCACGCCTAAATCAGTAAGTAATGGGGTTATTGATATGTAAGCACAAGAACAGCATGTCATATCTTCACAAAGTTGGTATCAAAATAACTGCAAAGAGTTACTATAAAAAACCTGAAAGGGTCCACTCCTTAAAAGGCATGTTGGGAAAAATGTTTGGGGTGGCAGATTCCCCCCCCCACTCTTTTAGGGTTATATTAATATTAAAATGACTGCCAAGACGTTGCCGAATGATGTCTAAGACTCGATTTAAATCTTGACAGTTGTGTTTGTCTAGCACCCTCTTGCAACCTTTGGGTGTGTGTCAAACTTGACATGCCTACCAAGTGGGCCTCTATGCTTGGTACTGTGTATAGAGCCGTCTCACCTATGTTATATCCAATAACTCCGTGGTCATGTTACCACAGCAACGCGCCACCCCCCTTGAATTACATGTGCAACAGCTGTGCACTGTTAAGTTGACGGCACATAATTAGCTGTTTCAGCACTAGTCAAAACAGATTTTGTTTTGCTTAAGATTTTTTTCTTTTTAACTGTTCCAGACACGCAGCCAAAGAAGCTTTTGTTTTCGTTAAATTTTTTTTTAGTTACTTCATTTTGAATTACTACAAAACGTCTTGAGCTTATCTAGTTTACACCATCATTAAGTGATCGGTAAAATATAAAGAGGAGAAAAACTCTGTCCTTTGTTGGCTTCACAAGAGATATGTGTATAATTTCTAATTAATAGTTTTTGTTTTCATTTACAAAAAGGTTAGAGCTGAGCATCATGCTGATGAATAGTTGTCTGTTTGAATCTGTTGATTCCACTTGTGAAGACCTACCAGAAATTTCTCTCCTTGATTACCAAACAGTAAGTACCTGATATTTGAGGAATGATTTTTATTATTGCAGTATGTAAGTAATAAAGTACATATTAAAGTGGCAAGTACTGTATTAATGTTAAACTACTGCCATTTGAAATTTTGTTCCTTCACATTTTAAAAATAACCTTTTTTTCATTACCCATAATGATTTGTCCATCTTATTTATTTATTTATCCTATTATTTATTCCTAGTATTATCCAGGGTAGCCTATTCACCATGAGGTGGTCTCTCATAGAGCCTTGAGATAAGCACAAAACACTTAAATCCAGTGAACAATACAAATTTAAAAAAAAAATAAATACTGTGAATAAACAATATATTAAAAATTAAATGGAATTATACAGAAAACAAAAGATTTTAGATTCCTAAAAACAAAGTTAAAACGGACTGTAAAAAATCAAAATACAAAGCATGAGATGAAAAAACACACACCTAATCTTACTAAACACTCTTGGAGGACTGATTTCAGGGATAATTTAAAACTGCCCAGTGACTCGGATGCTGCTGAGTTTACAGATCCGTCCTAGTGAAAAGGGGGATGTATCTTGGACATTTTGTCCTGAACTTTAGAACTTTCAGTGAATTCAAAGCATGTCAAGTATTATAATTGTGAACTGGATTTGATTTAATTAAGTTATCCGTCAAGTAGGCTTGGGCTAAATTGTTCATACATTCGTACATTAATACTGAAGGGTGGTAGGCAGATCTTTGATTTAAAGCCATCCGTTTGAGTTCATGATATTCGGTGGATGGAATATTATACTTCCTACTCCAGATGATTTCTCGCTGCTTGTTTCTGAAGTTTTCGAGTTTGTCAGTTTGCATCTGGAATCTTTTTGACCAAATCTGGGCACAATAATCAAAATGAGATCAAACATATCAATAATTACAAAATGATTTGCTTTTATCCAATTCATAACTTTAGTCATTCCATTCAAAGATTTCTCTTCTATTTCATGAACATCCACACCACAACTAATGTTGTATCATCAGCATACATATCAATTACACCGTAGATAACAGAGCCAGGCGTGTCATTTACATAAATAGAAAATGCAGTGGTCCTGAAACGGATCCCTGTTGAACTCCCATGCAAACATTTGCAGACAATTTGCACCCTTGAAGAAGACTCAAGGGTTGCATTTGCACAGTTACCCCTGTTAACACGAGTAGGATGTGTGTGCATTACACTTGAGTGCAGGAGTGTACTCCCCCTCTGATGAGTGTATACTCTTGCTGACCCGCGGGTCGTACTCCAGCCATTTGAGTGCTCAGGAGTGTGTGCTTGTGTTAACATGAGTTGCTCACTCAAATGCACCCTTTGCTTGCAATCAGATAAGTACAACTGGAATCGTTTAACAGAATTATTGGAGCACCCTAGTGGACTTAGTTTCTTTAACAGGAACTCATGATGAACCATATCAAATGCTTTCTGCAAGTCAGTGAATATGACCCCTAATAACTTGCTGTCATCAGTGTTTCTAGACCAGACATTGACCAATTTTAGCTTATGCAGTTGTAGTTTAATGCAGTGGTCTGAAACCTGACTGATTAGGAAGTACATGTTATGATCAGAAATGGACTGGAAAAGCTGAGTATGTACAGCCCTTACTAAGATTCTACTTATGATCAGTAGGTTTGAAATGAATATATATAGTTACTGAGGCATGAAGTATCGCCACATCTGTGCAGTGGCGTGACTTTATCATGGAACTTTCTTTTTTTTTTTAAAGAATAGAAAACTAGGTTTCTGAAGAGAAGAGTTGGCATCTTCTTAATTTGCTAAGGGCTCACTGTACTATACATATATGCAACCTACTGGGATGAAATGAAAATAACCCCCGCATTTGACATTTTGAGATACTCACATCACAGTGCAGAGCAATTCCTAAGCTAATGAATCACCTTGGAAGGCGGTAGCCTGCTGCAATCTCAAGATGGTGGTGGATTGAGACGGTATTGAACCTTCCATCTTGCGTGCCCTCATTTCAAGAACAATGGCCTTGAACACGCGCCACCACTTAATGGTTTTGGGAAAGTAAACATCGTGCAGGGAAAGCTCTGAACACATCAGAATGGCATAGCAACCACCATGTTGGAAAATAACCACGTTTGTGATTGTTTTACCAGTTGTAGAGTAGTATGTAATGCTGTTTTTGTGTAATTGTCATTCTGATATCTTACTTAATTTGGGAAATATACATTCCTCATACCTGCCAACTATTCTGGATTTGGCGGAAAAAATACGCAGTGCATTCAGAAATACGATTTTGACACGTTATTACAAATTTCCAGAAAAACTGTCTGCTTGTTTTATTTAATACACTTATTCTACCAATTTTGTATCGTGTGTTGTGTCCATTTATTTCAAATTTATGTTTTTGAACATTTTGCTTCATTTTGTACAGTTTGAGAAGTCCATTACTCGCTCTGCAGCGGAGAATATTTTGTCCTTTCAGAGAGCTGTATTTGCGCGTGGTAGTCATTTTCTGAAACAGAATACAATCATCTTGTTACTTCCCACCATTTAGCATAACGTACACTAGCATACTCTAAATGATCGTTACCAGTGTTTCACTTCGCGCGCGATCGGGATTTCCTGAAACCATGCTGAAAAACAGATACCATCACTTCGCTGGTTACCACCGCATCAGTGGACATAAACTAATGCACAATGCTGACCATTGAAAAGTAATGACCTCATGTTCCATAGATAGCCGAAAATAGGGCTGCATTCTTTCATGTGTCATGTGTGTACGTACGTACATACGTCATTTATCCTACTTCACGGCGGCACGGTACACTACAGGTTCAAGAGATACGAGTGGCATATTAAGCTCACGAAGTCCAAAGTAAGTTCTGACAGCTGAGAAGATGTCACAGAAGCAATGTACACTGCAGAAATTCAGAGCAAAATACTCAGAAAACTACCCAGTAATTGCTGCCTCCAAACTTGGGGACCGTCATGCATTTTGTAAGATCTGCTATACTGACTTCAGCATTGGCCATGGTGGACTTAACGGTGTCAAGAGGCACATGGAATCCAAGAAACATAAATCCCATAGCAGTGTTGTGGAATCCTGTTGACAGTGTTTTTCCCTGCACCATCTGATTACAGTGTCATCAATGCAGAAGTCATGTTCACAGAGTGCATGGTAGAACACAACATGCCATTGGCTTCAGCGGATCACATGGGTGAACTTTTCAGACAAATGTTCCCTGATTCCAATATCGCAAAAGAAGTGTGGATCCAGTCGTACTAAATCGACACACATTGTGCATGCCCTTGGGGCAGATACTTCAGGAAAAATTTTTCAAAGATGAGGACTGCTCCTTTCAGCATGGTGACAGATGGAAGTTCTGGTTATGAAGATGTGAAGCTGTACCCCATTTGAGTGCCTTAATTTAATGAGGCACTTGGGAAAGCCATGTCAGTGCTACTTTCCTGCATCAGTGTAACAAAGCTTCCACCGGTGAAAACATCTTCAAAATACTAGAACAAGAACTCAATGAATCCCATATCCCTGGGAAAATCTTATATTGTTTGCTGCAGATAATGCGTCTGTCATGTTTGGGAAACATAAAGGTGTTGCTGCGTTCCTGACTACACGAGCACCCTCTGTTTATATTTCAGGTTGGTAGCTATGCCTTCATGATTTTGATATTATTTTGCCCAATTGCCCTTCCCAGTTTTTTTGGTCTGTTCTATCATACTGGTGTTTCAATAAGGTGTGCAGTGATGAGGTGTATTTATCTTTTTAAACCAAGAAAATGTTTCATGCATTATTTGTGGTGGTTAGAAACTTTGATTAAAGTTTGTAGGGTAGCTATTCCCACGGATACAGGTATTTCAGCATTGTCCAATCTAAAGACAATGATGTCCAGCTTCAGTGCCTCAAATGTAAAATTTTTAAACAGGGTGTGCGTACCACTTGACGCACCTTGCAGTTGGTCATGCCACTGATGAACTACCTTTCAAGATGGATGAATTACTCGTGGACATTTACTACTACCTCGAAAAAAGTTCTAAAAGAAAGCAAGAGTTCCGAGCCTTCCAAAGAGGATGACAGATCTCAACATAAAATGCCAAAACATGTCTACCAGGTGGTTACCCTTAGGACAGTGCATAGCAAGACACTTGAAAGTCAAAGGTCTGTACCAAACGAGAGTACATGTACTCCCAGGAAGTGGCTCCCAAGAAATAAAAGTCCTCCAGCCTCACCAAGTCACCATCCACCTCCAGTCTCACCAAGCCGCCATCCACTTCCAGGTCAGCTGCCATCCACTCATAGTACTCCACAACTATCAACTCCTAGGTCAAGACCAGAGAGAATTGTCAAAGTGATGATGGATCCGAACACTAAACTCTACTGGTATTTTTGATGCAAGCAGTACCAATGTTTGATAAATCCAATACATTTCTGCAGAAAGATGAACCCTGCTTTCATCTTCTCCATAGTGTAATTTCTCAACAGTTCACTGACCTTGTAATAAGGTTCATTCGGCCAGCAGGAGAAGTCATGACTGATATTGACTATGCAAAGAGAAGGAATCAGAAGAGTGATGAGGATCTGTACATAAGTGCTGATGCCTGAGCCTGCTTACAAAAAGAAGGATATTTGTGTGACCTGGAACAGTTCTACAGCAGTGCAGAACCTTCTGGTTGTAAAAAATCGCATATTATTACCATGCTAAAACAATGCTATTTGTTAAAGGTTCACAGAAATAGAAAACATTTAGTTCATGTGAAGTATTTCAAAATAATAATAAATACGTAACCATTTCGAAAATATCCTAAATTTAATGTTTACCCCATTTATTGACCCCAAAATGAATAAAAAATCCTGTGTTTCCACACCCACAAAAAATCCCCTTTTGGCCTTTGATGACATCATCGGCAGAACACCTACATGTACAGTGTACATGTACATTGTACATTGCATGACTGCACACAATACATGCAGTTTCGCACACTTGCAATTGAGCATGTTCTGTTTAATGTATACGTAGCTTGGCCTACAGGCAAACACTGTCTGGATTCAAGAAAAGAAATACAAATTTAAAGATACAGCTCTAGCTAGCACAGTGTTTGCCTGTGGGCCAAGCTACATGTACATTAAACACATCATGCTCAATCGCAAGTGTGCGAAACTGCATGTATTGTGTGCAATCGTGCAATGTACATGTAGGTGTTCTGCCGATGATGTCACCAAATCAGCCTGGGAGCACAAATGGCCTAAAGGGGATTTTTTGTGGATGGGGAAATGCAGAATTTTTAATTTATTTCTGGGTCATGATTAATGGGGTAAACATTGAATTTATTATGTTTTTTAAATGGTTATGTATTTATTGTTACTTTGGAATACTTCATGTGAACTAAATATTTTCTATTTCTGTGAACCTTTAACTTTGTTGCCAGTGTTCCAAAGCAAAGATACTGCCATTTCATAGAGATTTTTGACTCCTTCCCAACCGCCTTGGCAGAGTTTAAACTGTGTGATTACATTTCCAAGTTGTGTTTCACTGAACTCAACCATTGTCTGTAGTTCATGGTTAATAATCTGTTCTGAATTATGCACTGATTGAACTTCATACATCAATGCAAGTGAGACCTTAGATAGGAATTATAATATGTTCCAGCTACATGTATGATTTAACACTCTGTGCCTCAACCTAACAACACACAGCAATGTCAAATACATAGAGTGACTGATTTTGAGTGCTTACAGTTTGGTTCTTCTCCATTTTAACCCATAAAGTGCATAACAGAAACTGTAGATGTTTCTTTAAAGCAGTTGTGATAAATTCATGTGGAATGCAAAAATTTGTGTCTACTCTGACACGACAGAGGGCGCTAGCACGGCGATTGAGGCAGCATCCACAACACCAGGCATAGCGACTGTGCCCTACAAGTCGTGCACTGATTGGATGGATGGGGCTGGTCACTGCTCCACGTAGGCAGCAGGTACTGTGGAAGTGCGAGGCTGCAGCTGCAGCAAGGCTATAAAAGCCACTTGGACCCAGCGTAAAGGGGGAGACAGACCTTGCCTACTAGGTTATGAGCACTGTACTAGACTACTGGTTCACAGTAAGCACTACTTCCTGTATTTTGGGGACGGTAGGGGTCACAGTGGGTTGCGTGGAGACGTTAGGACCCTCTGAGGGGCCCTTAAACGTGCGGTCGGTCGAAGTAGGGGCTATCTGCCGTAACTCTTGCAGCATTAGTTGCGAGGGGCAGCATCCCTGGCAAATGTCTCTTTTGCAGCCTGAGCGGACTCCTGCTGCCCGTATGTTCGGTTGTGGTGCTGGTGCATTGCTGTCTTTACAATTACCATGGTGTCTTAGCGTGTTGCTCTCTTGCACACTTGGGCACGAGTGGGTTTGGGGGTTGGAAGGGCTATTACCTGATGTTTGCAGTGCGGGAGAAGTAAGGATATGTTGCCCGAACCCACTTGAGTGGGGCGATATCCCTAGATTGGTTTTGGCCCTGGATATATTACATGACCCCTTAGAGATTGCGCATTGTGGGAAGGAAATAGGCTACATATATTTCTGTCCTCGCCCACAAGCTACGATTGAGAAAGCACCCTCCGTTAGCTGCTGTTGACCTGTTCCCTAATTTGAGGTGGTTTTTATTGTCAGGTGAGTAAAGGCGATGTTAAAGTTGTCTCATTTAAAGGAGCACCTTCTATCGTTATGTTTTCCAAATAAGCCTGGTGAGCAGGTTTTGCCCATGGTCAGATGTTTGTTTGAATAAACCAATCCCTTATGTTCCAGTGTACAGTGAATGGGTGTCCTAGACTGTTTATTTATGTCACTTTGAGTTCTGCCTAAACCATTAAGCCAATCAGATAACAGCAAGCCATCCAGCCAAATCCAAAGGATCAGCTCTTCATCTGGTACAGTATACTTCCATCCCAACAGACTTGTCCCTAGTCTCTCAGGGACTTGCCGGTACATGCCATCCGCGCCGTGCTCTGAGGAGAAGGGCGCCCTCACCCAAATCTTGCTCCACCTCCAAGGGGCATGGCAGCACACTTCTTATTGAGAAAATGTCAAAACCAATGTTGTATTCAAATCCACTACAAGTTGTGTGATACATCTGCACTGTTCTGGTACAAGTACCTTTAAATAAATTTTGTGCATAAGAATTCTAGTTTATACTACATTACAAGGCATTTAATCACATAAGAAGTCACTAGTTATTCAAACTCACTGAGACAGAAGCATTCGTTTGTTATTAATCACCCTGTTACTTGTAAGGGTCTTGTAATTATAAGTTGTGTTATAAGTTAAATTTCTCTACTTAGGACAGGCCTAAGTAGCCTACATCCATATTCACTACTTATTAATTCATGGCCCTTTTCCTTTTAGTTCAACTCATAGGATCATAGATTTCTATACCCAATTCAAATAACTGCCAGTTTTGTTTAACAATTATTGGTACAGAGCACAGGAGTACAGACTCCAAGTAAAATGCCCTTACTTTTATGTTTGATTAGTCAAGTCTCTCTAGTTTCATTGTGTAGTTTGACATGAGGTTTCAGTGACTGGAGGAGAATGTGGGTAAGGGGAATTTATTTTGCATGTGAAAAGATAATGGCAAGGATATGTAGCCAAATTGGGGGTGTGTCGGGACACAACTCTTTTGGTTTTGAAACGGTAAGGATGTGGAAAGTTTGTGTGATCCTCAGAGCCGTGCACTTTCAAGCCTGTAGCTGCTGGAGTATGCTCTGTTGGGAACAGGTATTTTTTCAGACTACTTAATGGCAAATTGTTTCCAAGCTAGCTGAGCAATTTAAGTTTTGGAACAACTTCATGATTACAGTCAACTGTGTTTTGTTTTTAACTATGCATGTATTTGGCCGGTCTTGTTTGAAGAATTGGATGGTTGAAGTTTTGAGTGTTTAAGAAACCCCACGTTTTTTAAATTGAATCTGATCAGCAAGTTACAGTACTTTAGCATCAATGGGACACAGAAATGATAAGTTGACCAAATGCGTTCTGATGTCAACAATAAATTATCAGATGCATTTAATTAAAAAAAAAAGCAAACAATTGTTACAATTTTTGTACAAATGCTGAGACTAGGGGAGTTCCCAGGACGAGGTCCAGGTCTGGTACATAAATGAGAAGTTGCAAGTTTTAGAAATAAAAATGTAAAAAATCACTTTAGTTTTGCTAACAGAACAAAAGCACATAAGAAAAATGTAAGTATATACTGTCTCTAAATCTGTGGGTGATGAGAGCCACTCCCTCCACAACAGATGTGCTGTCCCTGAACTCAACTGCAGGACTCTACCTAAGATGTTGTTATTGTTGTTTGTTTCAGTGGCGCTTTCAGCCACTCTATTTGCACCAATAACTATACGTTTATTTGTAACCTTTATTCGACTTTTTAACCATTTGTGACTTGACTATAGACTTGCAACAAATGACTTGTGACTTGACTTGCACTTGAATTTTATCACTTCTTTCCAGTGCAAGTCCGAAAACTACTCAATTGAACCCATTAAAGTTTTAAATTAGGGTTATCAACTCGTGCCTTCCATACTTCAGGTAATACGCGTAAGACTTTGTTTGGCTCGCAACTTCTACTTCGGTCTTGTCTGCCAAAGGCCATATCTGAATCACTTGGCCATGGCTTGAAATCATATGATTATCGACTCCATCTTTTATTATGGCATTAGGAGGAAATGAGTGCCCAGAGAAAACCTGCAAGAGCGAGTATGGACTGGAAACCAAATGCACTTAAAACCTGGACCAAGTTGGGACTCATTGGCGCAAAGCAAGAAAAGAACCACTGTGCTAACCTGGTCCCCCCTACCTTAGATTCCAGGCACTCTTGGTTTTAAACGTGGGTGTGGTCTCAGCCCAGAACACATACAAAGGCTATGTAAATTGAACATTCCTTTCATTCTGAAAAATGGGCATGGTTGAAGGGGTTTAATGAAAAGGATATTAAGATAACAAAAAGAGGGTTGATGGTGACTGGCTGGCCTGAACTAGTCCACATCTTCCTTGGGGTGGAAAAGCTGGTTAGAATGTTCCAATTGTGTGTAGGCGGCCCCACTTTTCGCGACAATACGATTTAGGTTTTGAGATTTGGGATCTTGATATTAATTTTCAGAGATTTGTCACATAGTTCCTTAAAATATTATTGAGCAATTTTACTTGTTTGGGTTGGACCGAGATTGCTGATTGTAGAAATAAAGGTTGTACTCTGAAGTCCAGCTGAGATTGATGTGTTATAGAATTTAAAGTTAGCATACCCTAGTCTAAAAGAAACTGAGACATTTGTTGATACTTGGGCTTTAAACTACTAAGGTATCTGAATCATATTTGAAAGGTATTCGAAATTGAGAGCAATCTTGGTACCAGTACTGAGGCTGTGCATTTGACTACTGATATTGCTAAGTCAATTTAATACATTCTCTAGTAAATGTGAATTCCTTAAGTGTGTCATTTTATAGTGAAAGTGATAAATTACATTTTCTTTTTAATTTTGAACATTAAACCATACTTAAGACTCTCCAAAACAAAATGTGGTCAGGCTGTCAGGAAATTGTTTAAGTAAATAGACAATGAAACATGCTGTACACAGTGTACTAATTGAAAGTAAATTATGCTTACTTTGACATACAGGTGATGACAGAAAAATTAACAGATCCTGTGAGAACAGAGGAGTTGTTTCATACCTACTGCGAAGAGCCACAGTATCAGGATCTCTACATTAATTTAGTAAGTTATTCATTGAAAAGAAATCCTTTTTTAAAAGTAAGAAACAGTTTATTTTTAACCTATTCCAATCAGGAATAAATATATTGAAACAAGAAGTAGTACTTGTTTAAAAGTTCCCCTAAAATTGGACAGGCCTGCGACTTTGATGATAGTGTTATGTAAGTACAGCCTCTTTTAACTATTGATGGAATGTGCATTGAGAAGATAAACTTTTTTGAGTTTTTTAGTCTGTCTCTTGCTCAACCAAATTATCACTGACAAGTGGCATCTAAGATAAAAGGACATACACAATATGGGGCCAATAAGCTTTTTGCGAGTTCAATTTGAATAAAATACTGCACCCCTTGCTGTAAGGTACACACAGTCATCTGATTGACATATACATAACAATTAGAATTGCCCAGATTAAAGACACTGTTTTACCTCGTGATTAGGGGCAAGCTTTTGCATAGCGGCCACCATCTCTGGAATGGACTGGTTCGTTTGTGCCCTTCTTATCCATTGAAAACAGTGTATTGGTGCAAGGCGTCTTTTATGTAACTATTTGTTTGCCCTGAATCATGAGATATAGCAACAGTGTCTATAGTGTGGAGAATTTGAATTGTTATGTTTACGTAAATTAAAGAACTCAGTGTACCAGATTTTTATTCAAAGTTAACTCGCAAAAGGGTTATTGGCACTTGTTGCTTGCCACATGACGAAATAATCAAACTGCTGATAGCACCGACTTTATTTGAATATGCATCATGCTTTGGAGTAACATAATTATTTACTTTGCATCCTAAGGTACCATACGTTAATGTCTCGGCACCTGCAGTTCCTGAATATTTTTCTCTACATCGGACATACATTGTCCTGCGAACCCTTGGACTCCGTCATCTGACTGTTGTTGATGGTCACAACAATGTGGTGGGCATCATTACACGGAAGGACTTAATGGGTTTCCAGATTGAGGAAAAGCTTGGTGCTGTGCTGTCCAACAGATTGGATGAGAATAACTGGCTCAGTCATTTCTCTGAGAATCCTAATGTGGAGTTGGATGAGGTAACTAATCATGGTGGAAATGCCTCTCAGTGCTGAACTGTACTCAAAATGTGATAGATAAATACAACAAAAGTTATAATGGATTATAAATTGTAATTATTACAAAAAAATTACATACTTTTCAATGTTTATGATACTGGGCCGGCATAATTATCGTTTTTTCCATTTTCAAACTTCTTCAAAAATTCATCATTTCATTTAACAGACGTTAATAGCCGCACAAAGTAATCTTTAGGCACTACTCCAAGTTGACAGATGACCTTCATTGACGCTCGAGGATTTCAGCCAGGCCTGCAGCCTTGTAAAAAGAGCCCAGATTGTGCAGTGTTACGTAACTTTCTTTTGTTCACGAACCTGGCTCAGTGCACTGCTGACCTCTTTTCAATAGGGGCCAGATTAGCGTGCAGCAGTGCTGTGTGGCTCATCGCTGTGGTGGTGGAGCGCTTTTGTCCCCGGTGGTAATCCGCTTGCTATAAATGCCCCAAACCTTGGTATACAGTTTCAAAACAAGGCTGGATTATCACCACTTTTGAGAGTGAAAAATTTTGCTAATGCCCAGCAGCCTGGTCTTTTGTTCCCAAGTACGGCCTTTTGTTACAGGGCCCTGTTTCCTTTGTCCGAATTCAGAGACCCCGGCCACGCATATAAAGTATACGTCGCCGATTCCGGAGTCCCCGGCAGGAAGTGGTCAAGATGCATAGGTGGAAGACACAGAAATTAGTGATTTCATGTTTGGGTAATTTAAAACTTTTGCTGTTTTTAAATTTTGATTTTTTTCTCCAAAGTGTTTGACCTACCCATCCACCCCATTTTTGATTAAAAAAAATTTTTTTTTTTATTCAGTATTATACCATGCATTGTAGCAGCCATATTGAATGCTGCACTGCGACTCTACACACAAATTCCTGAAACTGCACTCAATGATATAATGTTCTTCTGGATACAAAAGCTCCTTTTTCGCATGCCCGGCTGTTTTCCCATTGACTGTGTACAATTAAATTTGATTACAGCATGCTCATTGGCAACACTTCCAAATGCATGGAAATTGATGTGGAATTTTTTAACACAGTGAGTGGTTCATCAGCTGGAAAAGACCGGCCATCACTTCCTGAGCCTGGCAACGGTCCAACAGAAATAGGGCTTCAATGGACTGCCGAAAATACGTGCATAACTGACACCTTGATGTGGATACATGAAATTGAAAAAAACCTATGCATAAAGAGCAATATAATTTTGTAAAGTAAGTCGCGATAATGTCTCTGAAGTTTTTAATCATTTTGTGTTTTCGAGTTGTCAAAATTTGGAATGTATTATATTGCCGTAGGTGTCACTGGCTCCAAGCCATTCCAAGTTGTTCTCACTATTTCTAGCAGTCAGAACCAGTTCTTTTCAAGTGCTTCCACAACAAAATTCGCGTAATGTAAGTAGCTTCCCCTTTTGGGGGGGGGAAGCTGCAATTTGCAAATTACCAATGATGATGGCTGATTTATATTTGACTCCTACATCCTTACCTACACAATTTCAATTCACTGTAAGTACAAATTGTTCCATTTTTTCCTGAGTTTCTCAGACTCAATCTTTCCTTCACCCTCCAACATCTTGGCAATGCCACTGAAAAAATTAAAAGTACATATAAATGTAAAAAGGGAGAGGAATAGGAGAGGAAAGGAGACAAGAACAGATTGACATGCAATTGCAATACTGTCCCTATCATTAAAGACAGAGGGAGGAGAATACATGTATTTGGAAATATGCAGCCCTGATCAACCAAAATCTGCATTTATAGAAGGCTTTTCCCAGATTTTCTGCACCAGAACCTGATTTTTTTTCATGCTTTTTAGATATGAATACAATTGGATCTCTACTTTTCATGACATTGTTGGACTAATTCATTTTTTGATCTGAAAGTGATATGTGCATAGTAATCAATTGACCAGTGATGACAAAATTACCTGTAGATAGCTTGGTGTGGCCTTTGGTCAGCACTGAATTGTTGAATGTGCTGAACACGAAGGCTGATGAATTTTAAACTCATTTCCTCTGTCCCTTTGAAGAAAGAAACCCTAAGAAATCTACAATGTATTTCATTATACAGGAGGCAAAATGTCTGCTTTTGTTCTTTTTGATCGGGTAACATTTTTTACAAAGCAAAAGCTAAAGAGTTCGAACATACCAACATATAAAAATAAAAAATGGAGTGGACGGAACAGAACAAACGAAAAACCTTAAGGATTTGGATGGCTTACAATCAAGGGGCATTAGAGGAAAGCAGACAAGACACCTCATTGCATCAAAGAAAACTTTGCTCATTAGCAAAAAGTGTTCAAACTAATGGTGCCTCAGAAACTGGAAATACCAAAGAATTTCTTTTTTGCCTGTTTAATGTTTAACATCCAGTAAAGGGATGAAAAGCAACACAAATAGATTTATTTTGACACATTTCCCCCATTATGTGAGAGAACCGTCTAATTCAAAATGCAGAAAAAATAGGGCCTGGGGCTAATCCCACAAAGTTAAGGCACTACTGTAGTGGGCCTCGAGTGGTAGGTTGCTCTGTTTTTTATTTTTTAAAAGAGGAGTACAAGTGGCTCACTTATAGTGGGACTAGCCCTCGGCTTATTTTGGTTATTACTCAGGACATTGCAAAGTCAGAATCAGAACATAACAAGACTATATTATATTTGTTTAAACCTGTGACTACTACTATCAACATCTTATAAAGTTACATCACCTCCTTCCAAAGAAAAAGAGACAATTTGTGGGTGCATTTAGACCTCAGCTCAGCCCCCATTCCAAGTAACTGACCAAGCTTTATCAAGACTTGACAGTGACCATCAAGTGTCTTACTCATTGACCATGTACTACATGCACTTTCTAGGCACTTAAGGTGCATCCTACGTGAATGTTGTTTACACAATTCTAACGTTACAGTAGCCCGTATTGTCTGCCTTCAACATACAAACAGACTCTGTCAAATGAAAAAGCTGGGTGAAAGATGAATTCTTGTTTTTGATTTTTTTTTAAATGGGTTAATGCATTCCAAACTTAAGTTCACCCAAAATCAGCAAAATCCTTCCCAAAATTGAATGAAAGCCCCAAAAACATTTTTAAAATGAATTTAAGTATATAAATTACTACTACTAGTGTGTTAAAGACAACATTTCTGCATATTGGCCACCTGGTAAGGTATTTCGTCAAACACGAAATGTGTATCATTTTGCATGGCCGAGTATGAGACTGTCAAAAAGTGATCATATACCAATTTCAAGGATGGAGACACTGAAAATAATGCACAAATGACCAAGTGGTGCTCATTAATTTGCGTAAACCATACAACTTTTGTTGTAAGGGGTCAATTGTAACGAAAATTGGTATGCAGGTTTCCTCCATGATGATGGGTCTGCAAACACGATATCAATTAATTACCTCCTCAATTATGCAAATTAGCTTTGTAGTACTAATTAGTATGCATAAATGTCATAATTTCCTATCTGAGAAACCTATTCTGATGACGTAAAGATATACAAGCTACCTGTTTTAATACTAATTAGATTGATTATGGAGGGAAATGAAGATTTACGTCATTAAGCACATAATTTAATGATGTCATTGTCATGGAAATTAGGTATCTAAAAACCAAAATCAGTTCGACTCATTAATATGCATAAACATTGTAACTTGAGGTCTGAGTGGTCAATTCTAATTAAATTTGGTATGCAAGTATCCTCTATTTAGATGAGTCTACAAGCAAAATACCAAGTAAATACCTCAGACATTATGAAAATTAGTTTTGTGCAGCTAATTAATATGCATAAATGCTAAAATCTCCTATGAGTACACTTACTCAATAGTGTATACAGACTTTCTGTTTGAATGTTGAACTGATTATTTGTAAAAACAAAAGGAAAATTTACTTAATAATAAAGGTAATTAAGTGTTTTGAGTGGTACAGTGGTAATTAAGTAGGAAGGTTAAATAATGTTTGTTAACATGATTCCAAGTACTCATTTGTGACAAAATCAAACATATTCAGATTTGGTAATTAAACATACATTACCTTAAATAAACATAATTACAGTTGTCTTCCCATTCCTTTTGAAGCGGGTAGTCATCCTTATCATAATCACATTTCACCGCATAGCGGGTAAAATTTATTATACTCAACCACGCTTTTCAAGATGTATTTTTGCGTTGCGGTACCCGCTGCTTCATTTGACTCGGACCGGCCAGCCGACCCCGGCAAGCTCGGTGGTCGAGTGGTTGAGACATCTGCACTAGTAAGCACGAGGTCGTGGGTTCGAGTCCCACCCGAGTAAGCTTGTGAGGTTTTTNACATACGTTGGGTACGGGCAAAACCGTTATATATATAATCAACCACGCTTATTAGGGAGCATGTTGCTCAGAGTCTAAACGAAAAAAATATGGCGGCATGAGTACGTCCATATGTCACTTTTGTCTGTGGATGGCGCGTCTTGTGTACTAGCCAAGTCGAGCAAAGCCGCTGAAGCCACACTGTTCATTGAAAGTGATAAATGTTCTTGCGACCGCATCAGCTCAAGTCCAGCTGTCGTCTTACGCTGGATTCTTAGGAGAAATGGGTTGCAGCATTCCATAAGTTCATTGCAATCTATTTGGTGAAGTTTCCAACCCGTGTTTTCGAATTGCTCAAGTACATGTACACCAAAATTGTACGCACGGCTTCGGTCCAGTTTCCGGTTTGTGGCTGGCGATTGTAGACGAGCAAGTTCGGCTTCGCCTCGAAGGTCAGCCTACTCGGTCATGGGGTGAAATCGAAGGCGAGTTGTGGCTAACAGTTGCATCCTTCGCGTTGGAGCCTGCCTCGACCGCAGGTCGGCTCCCATCGCGCCCGGGAACCATTACTGGTTCGTGCTTCGGGTTCAACAATCCGAATGGTTGCAAGTTTTTTGGGTGAAGTATTAAAACAAAGTGTGCTCGTTTGGCACACGGAGCTCAGGCGTACCGAGTTCGAGGCAACCACAAAAATTCCCAAATAATCGGGTCAAAGTCGAGTAAAGGAAAGTCACACACCGACGCAGGTCCCAGCTATCCATCACTTGGTAACCTCAAGGGATCCCAAGGGATGCCCAAGCCCTAATAGCCAAAGCATAGTTTTCGTTCTCCGAAGTCCAGTTAAGCTTACGGTATTGCGTACCTTACATAGCGAGTATGATAATGAGGTTGACAAAGAAGTTTTGATTCAGGGGTTTCCAAGGGATTTTCTCTGGGGTACACGGCTCCCTAGATTCGTAGGGACGCGGGCTGCCTCCGGTCAGCCTCATCACGAAACGAAGCTACAAAAGGGAATTCAAGAGGGCAGAATTGCCGGGCCTTTTACCTTCCTACCGTTCGAGAACTTGCAATGTTCACCAATTGGGTTAGTGCCAAAGAAAGACCCAGGTACATATAGATTGATACACCATCTTTCCTTCCCTTCTGGTGCTTCGATTAACGATTTTATTTTCGTTTGAGAATCAATATTACTTTGACAAGCGTCTTCCCGTGGGATGTTCTATTTCGTGTGCTTTATTCTAAAAATTCAGCGCCTTTCTTGAATTTAATGAAGAGTGGGCGGTCTGAAGGGGGGGTCGCGGTGGTTGTTGGGGTCCCAATCTGGAGTCTAACTGGTGGAGGGGAAGAGGCACGCAGGTTCTTACAAACTAGATGGAATGGCGCAGTGACACGTCCTGTTCTTCCTGTCAACCAGTTTAATTCTGTCTGGGCCTAGCGGGCCACCTGTAAAAGTTGTGCAGGCACTCATAAGTTTCCATTCAACAAAACTAGTATCCAGTGTACAATACATAAAGTTACATTCCAGCAGGACAAAGCTTATATTATGTAAAGTGTAGGGATTAAAAGTATTGACTCCAGAAATTTAGTATATTAAATTGCATGTGACTCGGTAAAAAGAAATTTTTCCCATCTCCATGATAACCAAGGCTTGGGGCAACATGGCACATCAAGGGCAGAACACACACACCCATGCACGCACACAGTCAACCCCGGCCGCTGGCTGACGCAGACATACACACACATATACAAATCCACCCCCTCAGCACCAGGAAGTCCCCAGCCTACTATCAAGTGTCCTGCATTATCGTTTCACCAAACATAAACCCTAGCCAAACTTAAGAGGTAATACACCACAGAACTATAGTACCAGAGCACCTCCAGGCCTACGCCATCTTGTTACAATGTATAAAACTCACTCACATAAAGTACTGCTTGTATGCATACACACATGTTCATAATGGTATGCTTATACACCTACATGTATCACTCACGGCCATGCCATGCACATCATTACATGTACTACACGTGGGCTATCCAGGCCCCATTTCCATGACGACACTAACCAAATTTATGCCTTAAAAATCACCACTTTGAGTTCTCAGCTGTCCCCGAATATACCATTAAACTGGTCTATGATAATGTGCTGTAAAAGTGAGGTACTTAGAAAATAAAGAATTGAAAGTACCGATAAGAATTTTTGATACGTTTACCTGTAAAAGTTGTGCAGGCACTGCCTTGCCAAAGCATGGTTTCAGATATGTTTCGTATATGAACTACGCGTACATAGTTAAAACTTGCCAAAGTTGAATTTTGTTCACCTCTAAGGAGTGGCTTGCTAAAATGAACATGCTAATGCTGGTGATGGCAAGGTCAGGTAAATGAGTGAGTAGGTGGTTACAGGAATTTTAATTCTTTTTAGGAATTAAACAAACAACAATGGGGAACCGAATGGGGCATCTCTACAACTCTTCCCTGCCTAGGGAGGCATCGTCCTCGATGCCTGGTAAGAAGGCAAGTAGCATCAAATAAATCACAGATGAGTGAAGCACGCCCCAAACCTTCCAAAACTGGTGGAGGGAGACACAGCAAAACTTAGATAACATAACAGCTGAACAACAACATCAGAACAGTGGCTCGGCACAGCCCAAGCCTAAAACATGAACCTGTCGGGTGGTTTGCTGAGAGTGGACCTGACAGGGTACCGTAAACCACTCTCATCATCCTTAAAAGAGTTGTCCTCAGGACTGGCATTACAACTGCCAACGCCAAGTACAGTGGGTTGAGGATGGAGAACATAACCTCCAGGAGCATAAGAATCTGGGTGCTCGTCTGAGGTTGGCCTTTCATCACTGCTGCTACTAATGGACAAACTCTGCTGGGAGCCCTCGGGTATCCAGGGACAGTGCTTGAGCTCACTGCGATGAAGAACCTTTTCTTTACCCAGGTGACTTCGAACAACATAAACTGGGCCATTTTCAAAAGGTCGACGAACAATGAGATAAGGCTCCTCTTCCCAATGATCCTTAATCTTGGAGCGTCCTTTGTGAGAACGGCACCGAATAAGGACGTACTGCCCCACATCAAGTGGCTTCTCGAAGACTTTAGCTGCATGGATGGCCTTTCTAGCCTGAATGGCCTTCTCAGTAGTCTTCCTAGCAACTCTCCTCGCAGTTCGGAGATGCAGCTGGTGGTGATACAGATAGCTCCTAATGTCACCGTCATTGTTGAGGGCTTCCCTGCCTAAGTTGGTGCTCAGTGGGAACCGGCCATTTTGCCCGAACATTAGAAAGAACGCGTCTACGCCTGTTCTGGCATGTTTCGAATTGTTGTATGCATACACAAGGGCTTGAAGGTAATCTGGCCATTTCTGCTTTTTCTGTTCAGGTAGAGCCGCCAGCATGTTGTGCATGGTTATATTGTACCGTTCACATTGGCCATTGCCTGCTGGACGATAGGGTGTTGTGTGACTACGCTGTATCTCATATAGTTGGCACAGGTGAGAAACGATCTGGGATTCAAAATTCTGCCCACGATCCGAATGAAGGCGAAGGGGGCAGCCATGAGGGAGGAATACGTGGGTCACCAGAGCTTTGGCCACAGTGAGGGCCTTCTGGTCTTTTGTAGGTAGGGCCCACACGTACTTTGTGAATACATTAGTTACAACTAATACATTCTCTATCCCACTGGTTGAGGGCTCCAAGACGGTAAAGTCAATGGCCAAGACTTCCATAGGTGCCGTTGCTGATAGCGTCCCCAAAGGGGGATAGGTCTTCTGGGTAGGAGCCTTGGCAATGGCACAACGCGTGCACTTTGCACACCATTCTTTAGTCGCCCTCTCTATGTTGTGCCAATAAAACCGGTCCCACAACAACTGGAAGGTTTTCTTTGCTCCAAAATGGCCATTCTGATCATCAAAATGGACAAGAGTCTCGTCGTGGATAGCTGCAGGAAGCAGAAGCTGGGAAATAATTTGATGCGTAGATGGGGAGACTACCCTCGTTAGCAGCAGCTCATCTCGCACGGATAATCTCTTCCCGTCCCGAAGGAGGGCTAAGGCCACCTTAATGAGATTTACACGCTCCCCTCTGGTAGGTTGTACCCCTCTTCTGACGAATTCAATCACCCTTCCCAGAACCGGGTCCTCTTTCTGAAGGCTAACAATTTCGTCCATGGAATGCCCTGGCAGGCAAGAGATTCCACCAATCCGGCAGTCGTCTATGCTGTCACGAAGCTGCAAGGGAACAGTGGTCCCAGAGGAATGGTGTTCTAGACAAGCATTTACAGTTGAACTGCTCACCAGAGGGGCACAGGTGCCATTGTCTACCCTATCCTCTGGGGTGGCAGGGGACTCCTTTAAGGCAGCAGTGGAGCTGGCAAACTCAGCTCGCCTTGAGAGAAAATCAGGGACCTGGTTTGACTTCCCCGGCCGGTACACCAGTTCATAGTTGAAAGAACTCAACTGCAAGACCCACCTCATCCCTGCGCAGCCTAAGTTCGCTTCGTCTAGAAACAGGAGCGGATGATGGTCTGTGACCATAGAGAACTTCTGCCCCATCAGGTAGTCTTTGAAGACCTCCGTTACGGCCCATTTTATGGCCAGCAACTCTAGTTTAAATGTACTGTAACGTCCACTCCGTTCTGCAGGTCGTAGCACTCTAGACGCTTATGCTATGACCTGTTCCTTTCCTTCCTCATTCAACTGAAGCAACACAGCCCCCAAGCCAGTTGCACTCGCATCTGTCTCTACCCTGAATGGTTGTG